TATCATATGATGACACAGTAATGGAATTCGAACAAAGGACGGAACTATCCATAGAATCGTTCAAGCAACTGAACATTAACAACACGTTCGAAGACATAAATCTACACAAACTTCACTTACAGTCCTTATCAAGCCGAAACGACCTAATTGTCATGAAGTCGACAGCGACAAACTACCTCTTTACATCATCTTCACCCCGGCGGAGCCTCCACCGATTTGCGTTCCGGCCATTCCATCGATGTGGCCGTCAATTCATTCTAGCGGGGAGGAGTTACCGAATCTACCATACAGGGTGTATTCGATTCGGTTCCACCCGCCAAACCGCCGAGAAACGTTCATCGCCCACATATGACCAACACAGCATTGTAACACTTTGTTGCAATGCTGATCTAGCACTTTAACAGGATGTTGGGAGCGAAAGTTCTCGTCCAAGACACTTGAACTGCTGCAACAACAGTTTCCTATATACATGTTGCTAGCATATTGATTATTGAAATAATCAAATAACTGTACCATTAAATTGTACTATCAATACTGGTAACTCGCGCTTTTTAATTAATTATTGTAGTCACATATATAACAACATCAATCAAATAATAATATTTATTAATGCATCAGTCAGCCTCTTTAAGACTGTCTACTAATACTAAGCAGCATTATAAATTATCAAAAACATCTAATTATAATAAATATTAATGAAATATAATTCTTGAATTACGCGCGCAGAAAAGGACTGAAAAGTGGTCTTCTAAGGCTTTCTAAGCTTAAAACGTACGTATGTATGAGAATGTACATATGATTACATTCTTGGATTCTCTGAAAAGGGCGAAACATGTCTCAATTAATTTTTCATATAGATCCTTGGAAATGTATTTGAGCGCAAAACGTCACCCACCAAATATTTGACCCTCTTGTCCACCAAGGAGGAACGAATTTTCCAAAATGAGTGAAACATCCCTCAAATGAATTTGAATACAAACGTTTCTCGCGATTGTTCCACACATACGGGTGGCATTTCCCGAAACTTACTTTTAACGTGCACCTTTATCGCATAAGTGAAAATTTCAGCTTCCTAGCTCTAACCGCTTGGGCTGTGCGTTGATCACCAATCAGTCAGTCAGTCAGGACAAACAGTTTTATATATATATAACCACCTGGTAACGCCACAAGGGGTTAATTCTTTAAGTTTTGCGCACGACTGTAACCCATGTGCGCTAGCACAAATGTAACACGAATTGGTAGTGTTGCTGTCAGCTACAGCTAAGCTAGCTTTCTTTAATACGTTTTAGCCGTATGGTCGACAACCATTGATCAGCCGAACTTCTCGATTTACCAAGTGCTTTACTTTATTTATAAGGAATTTCGATAGCAATGGCCACGAAGGTAATTTTTTGCAATCCCATTCCATTTCCTACTTATCGAGTGTCTCATCATCAAGTTTTTTGCGAATTATATGAGAATCTAACGAGTCGAAAATGTCTTGCTCGGCGCCAAGAGATTTAAGGACAGCTAACTGGGACTTTACACTGTCTACAAGTACTCTCCGAGTCTGCAAGCTTGACGCATTTCAAATTAAACAGCTCATTTTAAGAGAGCCAAATAATACTCGAATCACGCAATCGTTCGAAGATCTGGCGAAAGTTACACAAAAGGAAAAAAGTTACACATTGTGTCCAACTGGCTGTAAATTGAACAACAAATATTTTGGATCTTAAAATGTGTGATTAAGATTGTCAGACCAACGTTTACTTAAGCGAGCAAGGGCTTTGGGATAATATTCTTGAAAATTCTTCGAATTCCTTTACCGCCTCTAAAGCAGGGCCCCGCACAGATTCAGTAGATGGATAAACTTTTCAATGGTCGAAAGAGAATACTCACGAACGATTATCTGATTGAATAATTGACTGGAGTTTATAAATTCTCCTTATTTCCTATAAAACTCAGGTAAAGACAATCGCGGAAGACTTGATGGCGGCGAAAAGCAAATTGGAGAATAAGGTGATATACAGTTTATCATCTAGTTGGGATGTACAATTTGCTACAAAATGGTCTTCCACTTCAATTTCAATCAATTTTCCTGAGAATCTTTAATCTTTAAGAAATCCTCTAGTGTATGTCGTTCGATACACGTGTTGAAATTATGTGACGAGAATGTTCTGCTCACCGATGTGTGAGAACGAGTTAACAGACAAACTTTAATCTGGCAATTGCCACGCTCACCGATGCGAGTGAGCGACAGTTCTAATGCTCCCAACTGATAACATACCAAATAATACTATGAGCAAGAAGGGGCATCAAGCTAGCAGCGACGAAGCAAAGGCAGCTAGAATGAAGCAACGAAGCATTGGCAGCGAGAATGAAAGAGTGCTAATTGTAGCGAGTCCAGAGTACCGCAAGATAATTTAGTTGCCAAATACTGCTGTCGTTGCGTTATTTTGCGAAGAGTTCGTGAAACGCTATGTGATATTGGCACTCAACGTTCCTTAAAAACTGAGCCCTTTAATTTCAAAAAATAGATCTTATGTTGTGCGCCAAATGTTGGATCAGGAGCTTTTTCTTGATCTGTGAGTATCTATCTCTTTTATAAAATGCGGTAGTTATTGAGCGAAACAAACTTCTTCCTCTGATTATGTGTAGAGAACTGATTTATTGACATGAAATATCCAATTGGCATTAATTTGCATATGCTGAAGATAAAATAAGATAAGCATAAACTTAGCGTAGTTTGTTAATGGCAACGATGTAAACAGCTGGTTGAATGTAAGAATTCATTGATACTGTAAGTGATATACAAATGCCAACACACAAGAGACGTGCATTGTAAAAATGTGCAGTTTTCTATCCAAAATAATATTTCCACAAAACGGCGTCACCAAAAATTGGGATACTAAGGGGTATAAGTCAATGAAGCAAAGACCCAAGCCCGGCTAGCCACCAAAACATTTGGCGTCGCATCGTCCCATTTATCTGCTGCCAATACTTTTTTTTTTTTTTTGGGTTTAATTGTTATCTTATTAGATGGTGTTACTCGAATTTGTAAATTTGGTTAATTCTTGGTATTTTCTTTCTTGGAATTATTTTTCTGGGTAGATGCGCTACTCGCTGCTTATAAAGCTCACTAATAGCACTAACCAAAAAACATATAGACCGGACATGCAGAGTAAAATAGGTGGTCTCCAAAAATTGGTTTGCATCTGGTCCAACGAGCGAGTAAGATATACATATGACATCTTTTGATCGCTCACACTACAGGAAACTCCTTTGGCTTACTCTCTTCCATATGATTTGTGCGATAGAACGGCATCGCTGTTTATTTTTATCTCGCTCGCACTTACTCTCAGTGCTCTCAATGCTCTCTTCATATCTAGGTACCGCTTAAATGTTTGTGTGTGCATGTGGCCGCACAAGCAAAAATGCCCACAAATTCAATTTTTGTCAAAAGTCGGTGGCATTTCTTCCCTTTTGTTTTTGGGATTCATTCATCGATTCAACCCCAAAATCATAAAAAGAAGGGTGCGCGACAACCGCGGGCCAAAAATGATATTTTCTTTTGCGCCCATGATCTGCCCATTCACACACATTTGTGTCTGTGTGTGTGTGTGCGCAGAGCTCGAAATTCAGAAATCACAAAATATTGTCAAATTTGGATCGGACAGGCAGGCAGGGACCAACAGGCACACATGCGCATAAATGCTTCTATTCATATACAAAATACGCAAGTATGCGTGAATAGCAAGTCCAAAAACTTTTAAATGCACACATGCCAACCCTTAGGTACCCTTTCCAGCAATACCGAGCTAAAATGAAAGAATTTCGCATCGACTTGGCAAACCCTTTCATGATTTCATATTACTCGTCCCCTCAAAAGGGAAGAAATGCCACCGACTTTTGACAAAAATTGAATTTGTGGGCATTTTTGCTTGTGCGGCCACATGCACACACAAACATTTAAACGGTACCTAGACATGAAGAGAGCATTGAGAGCACTGAGAGTAAGTGCGAGCGAGATAAAATAAACAGCGATGCCGTTCTATCGCACAAATCATATGGAAGAGAGTAAGCCAAAGGAGTTTCCTGTAGTGTGAGCGATCAAAAGTTGTCATATGTATATCTTACTCGCTCGTTGGACCAGATGCAAACCAATTTTTGGAGACCACCTATTTTACTCTGCATGTCCGGTCTATATGTTTTTTGGTTAGTGCTAATAGTCAACCCAATCATGGGTTTTTATAACCTTTGTATCTATAATTTACCAAATTAAATAAATCTGCAAAAACCAAGTATAATCATTTCCAGGGCGGGATTGATTAGCAGAGTAAGCAACAGATGTATTAGTTTTGCCTTAATAAATCAGTTTCTGGGGAGCACTGCGCCCTGCGTAACAAGAAAAAACAAAAAGGGAAACAATACTAGGTTTCCAAATTTGAGATATGAAAGACTTTACTGCAACACGCCTTTGTGTATATAACTCCTGGAGGCGTCGGTATTGTGGCTAATCCTTTTTAGGTTTACCCTGTTCGAAGAAACTTAGATTAGAATAGGATTATACTTATACTTCGGAGCTTTCTAGTGCCATTTAAAGATTCACTTTACTTTTCATGATTATATCTTATATGGATAAGCCTGAATAAAAAAAAAAATCCACCATGTGATCCAACCTTTATGCATTGATTTCACCTACGTCACCCACAATATCAGTTTGCCAAAATTGGGTTTCCGTGTTGGGAAGCGCTGACATCAAGGTGTGAGGTATGCAGTTCGGATGCACACTGGGTCGACGCGCCAGCTAGCCAGCTGCCTTGGTATCATAGATTCGGCATAACAGTTGCACAGAAACATAATTGGGGAATCAGCGCAGCCAATAGTCACCGTTGGCTCCTAAAATATGCGGACCCTTCAAAGTCCACCAATTGGGCATTCTCGCAGATTCAAAATACCGTTCATAACAAGATCCGAAAATTTGTATTATAATGCCAACTGATTAAATAACGTTAATTCAATTACTAAGAATCTTCAACAATTTTACTCAAGCGTAGCTAACAATAATACATATTTATGTACATGTTATTGCTTAACTATTTGAGTTTTGAGAACAGGCTGTGCGCTACGCAATGATCCAACTCAGCGACATAGTCGAACAGTTCCTCCATACATGTTTCGGTTGTTTTAGATCGACTATTTACACGGTCGTTGCATTCTTGATATTTGTTATATAAAGATTCGATATGGCCTTTAGCCTGGCACTTATCCTTAAAAAAATAAAATGTGATCATTAATACAATACTTAACAGCACATAATCAATGAATATGCACCAACGAAGTACTCACTCTAAGAGCTGCTTGGGGGTCTACAAGTTCCGCTTCATCATCATCAGCCTTAACCACGGGAAGTCCGACAAATTTCCAAAATGCCATTTTAGACGCTGCGAATGACGTCAGATTTGGAATAACAATATATCTTTGCATTTGTAAATAAATATAAATGTGCACAAAAAATGTAAGAAAAAATATAGATCGGTTATTTAGTTAATGCTAATGTATGAAAACTGGAATTACTCATAATTTAAAAACTTGAAACAAATTTAAGATATATAATATCAACTTAAAAATATGTACCAATTGCCGACTGCTTGTAAGGAACTTAAATGTGAAAAGCAAGTTAAGAATTTTTTGTTTAGTGAGTTGTGATGCAATCAGCACAGAAATTTTATAATAGCGTTGCCACACTTATAGAATATTTTCTGATATGGCTGCAAATATTCTAGGCCAATATTTTTTCTAACGCCGTTGTTATATATTGTATTAACATTTATAACAAATTTTTTTACCGTCTTTTGCCTCGTAACAATTAAAAAGAACTTTAACAATTAAGTTGAAATAAACTTCTTGGTGAGCAGAATATTCTTGCTTATTAATAATCGATAGAAGGGAATTCAGATATCGATAACATTAATTTTACACCCCTTCGAGGCCTCGTTTTTTCTGTGTATTTTTTATTCGACAGTGTTTTAGTACTTCATGTGTTGTTATATATGGGGAATATCGTATTTTTATGTTGCAGATAAAACAACATTGACTTCTGCGTATAAAGTATTAGAAACGCCATATTCCGCGGAAGGACAGATATCTATAACATTTTCGAATCCCTATTAATACACACCCGGACGTGCCTACCGACATAGTCGGCAGTCGTCAGCTTAAAATGTAAGTAGCAAAAGTAATCATATTATTTTTTGCTCAATTTTTGTTTGGTCAAAATAACAATGTCAAAAATTAAACTAGCTGTGAACTTGTTTTTAAAGATTCCGTAAACGTGGCCAATTGTTATGCTATGGATACCAGCAATATTTACCACTCAATTAATGGCGGAGACCCATCAGGAGAACAGTCACATATTTCGATGCAAGGGTATCGTGATGGTAATGCCTTGAATTCTTTATGCCCAACGAGGATGCATAGAAACTTTAAATTATTAGCGGATCCGCAATTGCTGAAATGTGGTTCTAAACTTTACCGCTACGACGGTGTTGTCCCCGGAGACCCCACATACCCGACAGTTACACCTCGCGACCCACGCAATCCTCTTATTCGAATTCGAGCCAAACCTGTCGAACCATTAATGTTGGTTGTACCCCGGTAAGAAGCAATGTAATTAGTCTTTGATTAGATCTTGATATAACATATAAGTCTTATAGGTTTGTGATCGATTCTCATTACGTTGGTCAGCCACCTGCTATTGAAGTGACGGTAGTCAATCTTAACGACAACATCGATAAGCAGTTCCTTTCCGGCCTATTAGATAAGTGTGGGCCCACTGATGAAATAAATATATATCATCACCCTACGACAAATAAACATTTAGGCATCGCGCGTATAGTCTTTGAAAGCACTAAAGGAGCACGTCAGTTTGTCGATAAATTTAACCAGAAATCAGTAATGGGAAAGGTAAGTCTTGCTGGAATTGAAAGAGATTAGTTAATTTGAATATTGGAACACTTTGTATTTATTTTCACATCTTTTTTATTCAGATTTTAAACGTATTCTGCGATCCGTTTGGTGCCATTTTAAAGAAGACTATTGATAATTTAACAAATCCCGTTGTACCCAGGCCGTTAATAAGCTCCACACCTCATTCGACAACAACGTTGATTCCGGCAAACGAACATTTTCATGATTACACCGAAAAAGAAGGTCCACATTTATTATCTGGAAGTGGTTACAACTCATTTCACACGAGTGCAGTGTTTGGAGAAATAGATAATGATCGTCACAGAGAACGCGAACGGGATAGATTTATGAAAGACCGTGTACGACATTCCGTTGAAAGAAGCTATGATCGAGAACGTGGGACACGTAAATATATCAGCTTACGTCATAGTCGTCATTACTATTCTCGAGGATCTCGCGAAAAAAGTTCAGACTCAAGCAGGGATCGGTTATACAATTCTAGAGAAAGAGAAAGAGAAAGAGACACAAGGTCATACGACTATTCTCATTCTAAAGGACGAGATAAATTTCGAGAACGTAATAGATCAAGAGATCATTCTCGGGATCGGGTAAGGGAGAGAAGGGATCATCGACCAAGTATGTCAAAAGAACGAGATTATAGAGAACGAGATCGTGATCGATCCATTGATGTTGGAACTGATCGCAAGGAACGCCTTAGTTCTAAACACGATAAACGTTATTCAAGTCATGAGTGCCATGAAGATGAAAATGGAACCTCTTCGGTGTTCAAAAACCAACAATATTATTCTGGCATTCCGGTATCTAACCTTATATCATCTGATAATTACGGATATGATCATTATGGTTACACTATTAGTGAAAATATTCAATCTTGGTCTAGCTCCCACAGAAGGTGGCCCGTCTCACAACCAGATTCACAGCTTATACCCCCACCACCTCCACCCCAGGAAGAAGAAGAAAACTGGGATGATCCCCAGCCACCAGCTCCAATGTTACATACAAAAGATATTTCACCCTCATCCGAGTCATTTGGTATAAATCTGCTATCACCAAGGCGACCGAAGTCAAATAAATGCAATAATAATCTCGATACTACAGACGCGGAAATCAACACAGAGAATGTTGATTTAGACACACGTATTGCCCTAATATTTAAGGGAAAGACGTTTGGTAATGCTCCACCATTTTTGCAAATGGATAGTAGTGATTCTGAAACAGACAAAGCGAAGGTCGAAGAAATCAATGAAAGTGTTGACGCGCATTGCGATTCAAATAGCATACTCAAAAAAAAAGAGAAAAATGTTTCGGCCTTACAGCAGCACGGTGCCAGCGATATATCAAGTGACGATGATATTTTAATTAAAAAAGAAATAGTCAAACATCCAGTTGAAAAGCTGGAAACGAATAATAACAATGATGACAACATGTCTTTGTCAAGCTTATCGTCACATGAAGAAACTACAAAAGAATCTACGAATTCGTCAAGTCAATTAACAACAAAAATTATGTTTACAGGATATACGGATCCTAATGCTTCACATCAGAGTAATTATTACTATCATCATTCAACCTATGGATATGGACACTACCCTTCGGCAATAGGAGCAAATTCTGGGTTTACTGGGAAGTATTTTTCTAACCCTGCATATATGCAATCCTCATACCTGCCTGGAGTGGTTTCTGCTGACGCTTTTAATTTAGACCCGTATATCCAGTCATATGGCTATCAACATGCGCAACCGGATCAAAATGACGAAATGAAACAGAATGTTAAAAAGGTGATGAATTTTATAGTCGAGGAACTGAAGCAAATCCTTAAACGAGATGTTAACAAGCGTATGATTGAAATGACAGCTTTTAAAAATTTTGAGGTTTGGTGGGACGAACAAACAGCAAAAGCACGTTCAAAACATTTGTCTTCCGTAAGCGATACCGCTACAACTAGTAATAACTTAGTAGAAAAACAAATAACTCAAGAGAAGCCTCCCGACATTAATAATTTAATCAACACGCAAAGAGAAATGTCAGATTTTCAATCATTCACCAGTATAGGTATAAGGGCTGCAATGCCTAAATTGCCATCATTTCGGCGTGTTCCCAAACACCCAAGCCCCATTCCCGATAAGTTGGAACGGGATCTCAGTGATCAAGAAGAAATGGTGCAGCGGTCTGATTCAGACAAAGATGATTCAAATTTGGGCAGTTCAGATGCTCAAAATCTTAATTTAAAAAGACGCACACTGCAAAGGGATAGTGGGAAATTGAGAATAACGTCAACCAATATACGATTAAAAAGAAAAGGAAGTGCGTCAAGTTTCTTTTCGTCATCCACATCGTCGTCCTCCAATAGCGATGGTGAAAATGATACTGAAGATATCGCCAATAGAGCTGAAAACGAAAGGAGCAGCGACGACGAAAGCTTTGATGAAGATATCCCATCAAGCAATTCAAATGAAAGGGACAAATTCCCTAAGAGGCGTAGGCATAATTTGAAAGCTTCAGATGGCAAAATAGTTAACTTGTATTCAGACTCTGAGGAAGAAAATCAGTCAATAAATCGGATATCAGCAACCAAGCGGGGTCGCACGAAAAAAATTGACATATACTCTGATACTGATGAAGACGATGACCAAAAGACAGGGACAACACGATTTACTAATTCAAAACCTAATATATCGTCTATACCGTCCGACCTTGAAGACATAAGCAAAGATAGTTGTTTTGGCATGGAAGATGTTGGCATTTCTGCCAAATTTGTATCCGAATTAAAAACTAATGAACAAATTGAATCTGAATCCCGCCGATCGCCAACACCTGTTCCGCCACCGGATTATAACGAGGAAACTGTTTCGAAATCCGAGGGGGTAACTTCAGTAAAATCGCATTTTGAATATGATCGTATTTATAGTGATTCTGATGAAGAGCGCGAGTACCAGGAGAAGAGACGTCGAAATACTGAATATATGGCTCAAATCGAGCGCGAATTTTTAGAAGAACAACAGAAAAATTCACATCAACCAGACAATACATCAAACATGGATCTCAAGTTGGAGATTAATCAAATATCAACTTATGAAATGCCTGAAACACCCGATATTTCAAAACTTCCTCCTACACCAGGTGCAAAATTATTAGTGCAAGAATTAACACTGTACAAAAAAGATATTCCAGATACTGACGCTGAATGCAAACCCTATTTAATCACAGTAAAAACTGAAGCTGCTCCAAAAACTACTAGTATTCAGTCGAATGAGAATGAGGGTATAATTGTTTTAAAAACTGAAAGCAATTTAAAAACGGAAGCTTATGGTACAGCTCAATCTAGCAGTCAACCAAATGAAAATACCCGAATATATAACGGAAAGCAATCACCTGTCTCCTCAGACAGTGGATCGAGTCAAGCATCTCAAGCTAGTCAAGTGGCCTTAGAACATTGTTATTCTCTGCCACCACAAGCGCAAGGTGTCTTTTCTACCTGTGTTTCAACAAGCCAATTTGAATGCAAAAATAAAAAAGATGCCGATAGCATGCAGATTGTAAGGCCTGGTCCTGGAAGGCCACGCAAAGATTCTGTTCGTGCTCAAAAGAAAAAAAAAGACTTTTCAGGAAGACAGGCGAATAAGAAAAATAAAATAGAATCAATGAAAGACACGCTTTCCGAACTGGTCCGGCAAACTGCGAACTTTGTTCCGTGTGAAATGTTTAAAACCCGTGATCAAAACGAAGAAATGGTAATTTTATATACATTCCTAACAAAAGGCATCGATTTGGA